AAAGAATGAATAAAAATGACTAAAGCACTTAACGAAATTGCTACAACTAAAACTAATAAAATATCATTCAAAATAATAAATACTGTAATAGTTTATAAATAATTCTAAAATAACACTGGTGAGAGCTGATAAATAAATAACACATTACTGACTGACAAATAAATAAATAGAAATTACGCATAATGAGTCCTTTTTTATAGCTTTAAAAATCCAGTCCTCCTTATTTGCATGAAAAAGCATTACATTCTTCATAATTTCTCCATTTTTATTCCACAGAATAAAGAAAACCATACAGGACTGGAATGACGTTGAGGGTGTTTGCAAAAGTTTCTGCACAAAAACGCTGTTCTAATGTTACATTAAAGATTGCATCAGGATTTTTACACATTTGAAATGCACAAAAAAACTGACTTGACATGTAATATGTATGTTCAAGTAGTCTTTAAAAAAAACGACCTCAGTTTCAGTGGTCACTATTATGTGTGTGTGTGTGTGCATGTTTATGTGGTTTATGAGGACACAAATTTGTATAATAACATGGGTATGACATAGGTATTACAACGAGAAGGTGATTTATGAGGACATTTTCAGTGTCCCCGTAATTCAAAAGGCTTATAAATAATTCAGAATGAGTTTTTTTGAAAATGTAAAAATGCAGAAAGTTTCCTGTAAGGGGTAGGTTTAGGGGTAGGGTTGGTGTAGAGCAATAGAATATACAGTCTGTACAGTATAAAAACCATTACGCCTATGGAGAGTCCCCATAAACCATAAAAACAAACCTGTGTGTGTGTGTGTGTGTGTGTGTGTGTGTGTGTATATATATGTTAGAGACAGTTGAAGCCAAATGAGATGTGTCAGAAAGCAAATTGGAAATGCCAATTTCACTTAAGTCCAGGCAACGCGCTTCACGCCTAAACTCCACCACTTGTTTCATGTGTAAATTAATGGCTTCCGCTCTGCAATTTAGATTTTTGAGCTCACCAACACACCCTTGATCTATTTTGCCCCATCTTCCTCCCCGTTTCTGTCTCGCTTCCTCTTTCCCGTGCACTCCCCGACCCCTCCGATCATCCAGAAACGGCCGAGCCCGTGCAGACAAATTGGATTTCTCTCTGCATGCTGGTTCTGAGTCAGTAGCTCTACTTGATGAGACTGTTTCTGATACTAGAACCTCGTCTGTAAGTGTGCTGAATATCTGCTGCTGTTTATCAGGAGTGTGTGTGAATGAGAGGGGCCATAGAGAGGAGGCTGCTGTCAGGGTGGAGTGTTTTCACCTCCCCCCATATTGATCTGACAGTCTCACAATTGCGTGATGAGAATCCTGACTTGTCTCTCCTTCGCTGTCCGTCTCACTCTGTTGCTCTCTCTCCGTTTTATCCGTCTCACTCTCTTTTTCTCTCTCAAGGATACACACTTAAATGGCAAGATTTACATGGAGCGAGATAAGCCAGCATGTTTCATTCATTCGCTGCCATTTCAGCCGGGCTGAGCTCGAGCTGTGCACCAGAACATGGTTTGTGTACGTTTTCCTGAGTGCTCTTCATCCCGGCGGCCCCCAGTTGCATGTCAGGATCAGTGCAGTAAATCACTGATGCACTGCACAACAATATGGTCGTGTCGAATTGGCAGAATGTACACTTAAACATAATTGTGGGGGATTTGTTTGTTGTTTTGTCTAGTGTTTTTTGTTTTGTTTAAGATCATTTTAGTGGATGGACAGATACTGTCGAATTCAAACTCTCATGTCTTGCATGAGCATCACACCTCAATGTGTCTAGCAAGTTTATTTAGGGTTGTTTTGGGCATTTGTAACAGATTTTACCTACACTCATAGAGAGAGGACAGGAAAAGATGGTGAGATGCGAGAGCAATAGGAATCGAAAAATGTTGCGAGCCAGATTCAAACTCCAATTTCCTATATCAACACTAAAGCTGAATGTATCCAGCAATTGTTTTATGTTGTATTGATTGTTGTATTATGAGTATTTTTGGCTTTTTAGTATAGGGAGAACCAGGGGTGGGTGATATGATTAAATACATATATCACAATATACAGTATATCATTTGATATCATAGAAGTTTCATATTTCTTGTCACCAGTGTCAATATCACAAAAAACTAATACTAGCCTAAAACAAACTCAAGCTCACTGAAGACAAGAAAACAGTCAGTGAATAAATAAGATACTAATTACAAGCAATAGGACAAAAAACTACAGTAGAGCAAATAAATAAGAAATGCTGCATACATTCTAATCAAATGTATAAAAACACTGCATATTCTTCACTGTGTAAATTAAATATATATTTCTTCTTATTAAAGTTACAAAAATGATTTAGTCAAGAACAGTGAGAGATTTTCTCTCTTATGTTGTTTGATTAACATGAACGACAGACAGTAGGAATATTAGACTGCTGTCACTTTAAGAGCTGCCCGGTTCCAATGTACTGTTATGCTTGATTTGTTTCTAATTCGGAAAGAATGAAAAGGGTGGCAGCAGAGAAAGTGTGGTTTTGGGTTCACATCTCGATGGCTATCAACCTGACTCTCCAAATAACTCAAGATGACCGCTTTGGTCATTTTGGGTCGAGTCCAGGTCAATTTGTTGCTAATATTTCAAGTGTCAGGCTGGTAAAGAGCTATTTAGAGAGAGCGGTGAGTGAACAGTGACTCCAGAGGACCATTCAATTGATCTCCACACCTGGGCCAAATCAAGATCTCAGCACCTTGACTGATGGTGACGCATATCACGCGTTTCCATTCTTCTTTTTCCCATCTCTTTGCTGTCTGCGAAACATAAAAAATGCTACTTTCAGGTCCAATGTTTGTGTAATATCCTGTCTGCTCGGTTTTTGAAGGCAGCACAGATGTATGCTTCACTTTGGTTGGATGGAGTGGTAGTAAATAAATTAAAGTAAATTAATTCATAAATGTCATTTCAGTTTATGATAGCATTTCTGTACTACTTTTCAAAAGTTTGACCAAAAGTGACAGCATAGACATTTATAATGTTCCAAAAGACTCCGGTTTCTAAAAATGTTGTTCTTTCGAACGTTCTATTTATCAAAGAATCCTGAAAAAATTGTATCACAGTTTTCACAAAATATTAAGCAGCACAATTGTTTTTAATACTGATGATAATATATATATATTTTTTCTTGAGTACAAAATCGACCATGTTAGAATGATTTCTGAATGATCATGTGGCACTGAAGACTGGAATAATGGCTGGTGAAAATTGAGCTTTGCAATCTTGATATCATAGAAGTTTCATATTTCTTGTCACCAGTGTCAATATCACAAAAAACTAATACTAGCCTAAAACAAACTCAAGCTCACTGAAGACAAGAAAACAGTCAGTGAATAAATAAGATACTAATTACAAGCAATAGGACAAAAAACTACAGTAGAGCAAATAAATAAGAAATGCTGCATACATTCTAATCAAATGTATAAAAACACTGCATATTCTTCACTGTGTAAATTAAATATATATTTCTTCTTATTAAAGTTACAAAAATGATTTAGTCAAGAACAGTGAGAGATTTTCTCTCTTATGTTGTTTGATTAACATGAACGACAGACAGTAGGAATATTAGACTGCTGTCACTTTAAGAGCTGCCCGGTTCCAATGTACTGTTATGCTTGATTTGTTTCTCGGCTGTTTGCTTTTACTTACTGTGTTTGTGAGGATACTTGCAAAGACGGGAATTTTCGCACATACAAGTGTGTATTTAACGGTTCAAGGCATATAATAATGCAAAAATAACTCAATACTCTGATAGTTCAATACTGCGCATATAGTGAAAAGAGTTCTCTTTCACTGCTGATTGCATTTTAATGGCTTAAAATCACTTGTTTTTAAACTGCAATGCTTAAAAACAGATGCAAACGATAGGTTTTTGTGACCACGCAGCACAGCAATGCCATGTGAGTGTGTAACAGCGATAGACAAATTGTTGACAAATTTCTACTGCTTAATCGTGTCTACCAAGGGAGAACAGGAAATTAGATAGCAAGAAGTGTGGGGGTAATGGGATCAAGAAATCTTGCGAGCCAAATTCAAACTCACATTTGCTGCATTAACACTACAAGGTGAATGTGTCCAGCATTTTTGCCATTTTTGTCTCAAGCAAAAATAAAAAACAGTTTTCAAACCTGTGTTTACCACATAAGCACCACAGCTCAATGTGTCAACTTTTTGTTTTATTTTAAAACCGTTTTGTCTTTTTAGCATATTTTACCTAAATGTAAAGAAAGCACAGGAAAAGATGACGAGAAGTGTGGGTAATGGTAAAGTTTGAATCTGCAAGTTGCTGTTGTTTTAGGTATTTTTGTCTTTTTAGTAGACAGAGGGCATGGCATTATGGCTAAAAATAAAAATAATTGGTTCAGAAACAAAACATATTTCCTGATTTTTATTTTTTTTTTAGTGGGTGGAAACACAATAGAGAGAGGGTAATGGGATTGAGTAATGTTGAGAGCCTAATTCAAACTCATTTTTCCCACACTTTTTTTGTCTTTTTAGTGGATAAACTGTAGAGCAAGGACAAGAAGTGATGATAAGAAGTGGGAGTAATCGGATCTGAAAATGTTGCGAGCTGCAGTGGTTCAGTGTGTCATTTACTAGTTTTATTTTCTGCCTTTTTGTCTTTTATGGTGGATATGCAGACTTTAGAGACAGGCAATGATGGTGATAAGCAGGAGAAGTCGGATTGGAAAAGCCGTGACTCGTATTAAAATCCATATTTCCCCACATGAGCACTACAGATCAATTTACAATCTTTTTTGCAGGTTTTAAAATGTCTATAAAGTATTTATTGGAAATTGTTTAAGAACACCTATTACCTGTTACAAAACATAACCTTTTGTGGCTTTTTGCTTTATTTTATGACAGGGTTTCTGCTTGATGGGGCCTCATACTGTACAAAAGAAAATATCAAGTGTGAAGAACAGCATGGAATCATGTCTATCTTTCTTTTTTTCCCCTCTATCTCCAGTATGACTATGAAGGAAATGACATCAGCGACTTGCCGGTGGATCTCTCGGTTGTGTGGAATGGAGATTTCGTCATTGACAACCCCTACAATATCCAAGGTAAAAGTCACATCTGTTCCTCTGTAGTAGCTCTTTTTGTGTATCCACACCTCTCTCCAGTATGTCAGTTTTATGCCTGGCTGCATGTCAGGCCTTACTTCTCTCCATACAGCTTATCTGGTCCTTCCTGAGCTGTGACTGCAGCTCGCTGCTGCTAAACAATAAGAAACCACGTGAAACCATCTTTCGGAAAGAATGAAAAGGGTGGCAGCAGAGAAAGTGTGGTTTTGGGTTCACATCTCGATGGCTATCAACCTGACTCTCCAAATAACTCAAGATGACCGCTTTGGTCATTTTGGGTCGAGTCCAGGTCAATTTGTTGCTAATATTTCAAGTGTCAGGCTGGTAAAGAGCTATTTAGAGAGAGCGGTGAGTGAACAGTGACTCCAGAGGACCATTCAATTGATCTCCACACCTGGGCCAAATCAAGATCTCAGCACCTTGACTGATGGTGACGCATATCACGCGTTTCCATTCTTCTTTTTCCCATCTCTTTGCTGTCTGCGAAACATAAAAAATGCTACTTTCAGGTCCAATGTTTGTGTAATATCCTGTCTGCTCGGTTTTTGAAGGCAGCACAGATGTATGCTTCACTTTGGTTGGATGGAGTGGTAGTAAATAAATTAAAGTAAATTAATTCATAAATGTCATTTCAGTTTATGATAGCATTTCTGTACTACTTTTCAAAAGTTTGACCAAAAGTGACAGCATAGACATTTATAATGTTCCAAAAGACTCCGGTTTCTAAAAATGTTGTTCTTTCGAACGTTCTATTTATCAAAGAATCTTTCGGAAAGAATGAAAAGGGTGGCAGCAGAGAAAGTGTGGTTTTGGGTTCACATCTCGATGGCTATCAACCTGACTCTCCAAATAACTCAAGATGACCGCTTTGGTCATTTTGGGTCGAGTCCAGGTCCATTTGTTGCTAATATTTCAAGTGTCAGGCTGGTAAAGAGCTATTTAGAGAGAGCGGTGAGTGAACAGTGACTCCAGAGGACCATTCAATTGATCTCCACACCTGGGCCAAATCAAGATCTCAGCACCTTGACTGATGGTGACGCATATCACGTGTTTCCATTCTTCTTTTTCCCATCTCTTTGCTGTCTGCGAAACATAAAAATGCTACTTTCAGGTCCAATGTTTGTGTAATATCCTGTCTGCTCGGTTTTTGAAGGTAGCACAGATGTATGCTTCACTTTGGTTGGATGGAGTGGTAGTAAATAAATTAAAGTAAATTAATTCATAAATGTCATTTCAGTTTATGATAGCATTTCTGTACTACTTTTCAAAAGTTTGATCAAAAGTGACAGCATAGACATTTATAATGTTCCAAAAGACTCCGGTTTCTAAAAATGTTGTTCTTTCGAACGTTCTATTTATCAAAGAATCCTGAAAAAATTGTATCACAGTTTTCACAAAATATTAAGCAGCACAATTGTTTTTAATACTGATGATAATATATATATATTTTTTCTTGAGTACAAAATCGACCATGTTAGAATGATTTCTGAATGATCATGTGGCACTGAAGACTGGAATAATGGCTGGTGAAAATTGAGCTTTGCAATCATAGGAATCAAATTTTAATGAAATATAATAGTAATTAAAGAAAATTCACAATATTCGGTTTTTACTCAAATAATGTTCTGTTTTTGATCAAATAATTACCGTTAACAGGTATTGGTTGCGTGGATAAACTCATCTGTGACCTTGGACCACAAAACCATTCATAAGGTTCCATTTTTTTAAATTAAGATGTATACATCATCTGAAAGCTGAATAAATAAGCTTTCCATTGGTATATGGTTTGTTAGGATAGGACAATATTTGGCAGAGATACTATTTGAAAATCTGGAATCTCAGGGTGCAAATCTAAATATATCGCCTTTAAAGTTGTCCAAATTAAGTCCTTAGCAATGCATATTACGAATCAAAAATTAAGTTTTAATATATTTACAGTAGGAAATTTACAAAATCTCTTCATGGAACATAATCTTGACTTAATATCCTTATGATTTTTGGCATGATTTTTTTGCATAAAATTTGGCATGATTTTTGGCATAGAAAAAATTTGGATAATTTTGACCCATACAATGTATTGTTGGCTATTATATATATATATATATATATATATATATATATATATATATATATATATGACATTACCGTCTGATACCATTAGTTTACCTTGGTACTGCTTTTTCTGTTAATTAAACAAGCCACTTCTAAAGTTTTACATGATTTTACCACATTAAAAGGGGTGTATTTAGGCAGATGCAGGTGGATCACTGTAACTCAAGCCTAAAACAGTAGCAACAGCAATATGAAAAAGACACACTGGTGTTTAAACAATAATCACATTTATTAAGTCTAATAATGATGATAAACACTTCTTCAGTCGAGTAATATAGTTCATTAGCTCAACTGTAGAAGATTTATGGTTGCCAAGCAACTTGGCTCATTAATATAGAATTCATCTGATGTGCGGTCACAGGTTTTGTCCTCTGCTCTGCGTGCTTATTTATCCCTGTCTTTATCTCTCTTTCTCTCGGCAGCGCACCTGTACAAGTGTTACGCCATGCGGGACAGCTGTGGGATGTGTTTGAAAGCGGATCCTCGGTTCGACTGCGGCTGGTGCGTGCAGGAGAAAAAGTGTTCTCTGAGACAGGAGTGTGCTCCTCCAGAGAGCATCTGGATGCACCCCAGCGCAGGAAACAGTCGCTGCGCGCACCCCAAAATCAACAAGGTAGCACCCGCTCCCAATCTGTCACACCCCATTTAACACATTCAGTATTTACAAGGCTGTCAAACACACTTTTTATTGTGTTGAAGGTTCTTCAGTGGTGCTTTGCATCTTATGTTCAGCAAAGAACCTATTAAGTAAATTCTTTGACTGTATTAGGTTTTTAAGCAGCTTTATGTTTCCTTTAAAGATTATTTTTACATTTGTGTACCTAAAATGTATACATTATATACAATGTATGACATCTGTTAGAGGAAACAGAAGTCCTCCTGGGCACCATTGTGGTTTTGTTAAAAAAAAAAAAAAAACTATGGATTTTAAAGAAATAAAATGAATTATGCATTTGTGGCATAATGTTGATTTCCACAAAAAACAAAACAAGTGTTGTCCTTCAAAATCATGGCTATGGTGAGGCACTTACAATGGAAGTGAATGGGACCAATTTTCGGAGCATGTAAAATCAGAAATGCAAAGCATCTATAAAAAAATGTAAGCACTTACACTACTGTTCACAATTCAGTTAGATATTTAAAATGTTTAGTTTTTTTTAAGTCTCTTTTTCTCACCAAGGCTGCTTTTATTTGATCAGAAATACAGTACAGTATTATTGCGAAATATTATTGCAATTTTCAGCATCATTCCTCCAGTCTTCAGTGTCAAATGATCCTTCAGAAATCCTTCTAATATGCTGAGTTGCTGCTCAAGAAACATTTTATATTATTATCAATGTTGAAAACAGTTTTGCTGCATTTTATTTTAGTGAAAACTGTGATGCATTATTTTCAGGATTCTCTGCTGAATAGAAGTTTCAAAAGAACAGCATTTATTTGAAATAGAACACTTTTGTAACATTATAAATGTCTTTACTGTCACTTTTGATCATTTCAATACATCCTTGCTAAATAAAAGTCTTTTCTTTCCCAAAAATAAAACATTTAATAAAATAGAACTTACTGGCCCCAAACTTTTGAACGGATTGTAACTTCACACAAACAGGTTTAGTGTGTGTGTTTTTTTTAATGTAAATTGTGTTTGTCCTGAGGCTATGTAATTGAAACTATATAATTATATAATATGATTAAGTTTTTAAACATGTATGATTTGGCCCCATTTACTTCTATTATAAGCTGTTGTAAGTTTAGTGTCATATTTACTAAACACCACTGTTTGTCACATATAAATTTAGAAGGTTTATTATAAAAGTTTTTTTGAACAAATTTGTGTCGTTTCCCTCTTGACGTCTCATCATAAAAGTCCATTCATAGAAGCCATACGTACTTCCTGTATGCTAACGATGGTGTACTGTTTCTCAGTTTCTATAACACAGACGCTCTTCGTCTAAGAAAAGAAACAATAGACCTCCATTTTAGGTTTTCTACAGCAGCCGTGCCAAACAAATCCCTCGCTGTGCTTTTATTGCCGTGCAGCGGTGTATTGATGCTAATATACTGTGGTGTGCCAGTGCTGGCAGCTGGCAGTCTGTGAGACAGCGGTGTCTCTCAGTAAGATTAGCCCCTGATACTGGGTAATTGCCAGTGGCACAGTTGCTAATCCGTTAGCTCATGCCTGTCTCTCTGCTTACTTATCGCTCTATAACCAGAGCTGAAAGCTTGAATGAAGGAAGAGGTAGAGACAAAGAAAGGGAATGGTGTATGCTTGTTTTCAGTTCACATTGAATCAGCTGATCGGTTTGAACCACCGAGTCTTCTGAAGTCCTACGATAGCTTTATGTGAAGAACAAAGTCAATTTTAGTAGTCATCCACAGATTTTCCTCTCCAAAGTTGCTCTCAAATCAGATATTTGTTGTCTTTAGACACATGACATTAAGCATTGTAAATTCTATCGGTCTCGTGACTGAACATCATTGAAAACGGTGCCATGTTTGATTTAGAGTTACAGTGATGAAAATGAAGTTGTGAAAGACGGAAATACAATGCATTTAATGTGTTCAAACCAACGGAACTCTGTAAAACAGTAACACGGGCTGCACTTCCTTCACAGACTCATTTTTGGGCATTTGTGGTATAGCTCTGATGTTATTAGAGGGAATACAGAAGGGTAGTGAACAACGTCCAAAATAAACACTCGCCAAATGTGAGTAAAATTGTCTTTGTAGAGTAAAGGGAGTTGGTAGCAAGTTGGCCCAGTATTAGGCACTCAATGGTTTAATTCAAATTTTGAGAATGATAATTTGATATTTAGCAATGCAAATCAAACCATCCGCTAAATAGTCAGTGGGGATATTTACCATCATTAGTTTACGTAGCATACTTAGGGTTTTATTCCTTCTGAACTTAATGTTTTTATCAAGATATCAGTGTTAGTATTATTTAAATACTATTATAGTTTTTTTGATTTTGTATTTAATTTGTTACATTTTTATAGCAATTTTGTTTTGTGCTTTTGACATTTTTATTTTAGTTTTAGTGATCCAGTTAGTAATTTTAGTACATTAACTTCAGTGTTTAAATGTTGTCTTGTTTAATTGAAATAACTTTAAGCTGACGTTTTTCATCACATTTCAGCTTTTTTTGCAATTAACAGTTAACTTTATTAAATTAATTTTAGTTAACAGTACAAATCATTTATTGGCCCTGAGCATTACGTTTATATATAATATCCTAACTCAAGTAATAGTATGCTATCGCTATATATATTCTTGCAGTCTGTCCTTTCCTACCATGCTCATTCCCTTGCTTCTCCTCCATTCACGTCAGAGTCATGTGACTTAGTATATTAGCCTGTGGATAAGCTTATAATTTCATTTGGAATAGAGTATTTAAAATGGGATTTTCTGTCTCTGTCTCCTTAGAGAGACCCCTGGGTATGTGTAGTAATTGAATTTGCTTTATGTCTGTCTTATTGTCTTCTGTTTTGCGTCTCAGTTGAAGCTGTCTGCTGACGTCAAAGTTGTGCTCTTTTTTTCTAAGGGCCATAGAAGTTTATAATACCTGGATAGAGCTAGCCGTTAGCTTTCCCATTCATCTCAGTGGCAGTTACCATAAGTTTTGCAACATACCGAGTAGACAAACCCTTACAATCATGGGGAAAATACCTTTCTAAGCTGCTCCCTAGCTCTTGTTTTTCCCAAAATGCACCTCTTTGGCATCGATATCTTATTAGCTTGCTCAGAGTGTAGATTTTCTCCATTCCTAATTACAGCAGAGGAAAACGCACCTAACCAGGGGCAACAGCAAGGTTTCTTCTAGCAAACAACCTTCTCTTTATCTTGGATTTTCTCTCTCTGTCACACACACACACACTTATCACACCTCTGTCAACAGTAAGCAGCTCTGATAAGCTTTGACACTGAAATATGTAAAATATACATGTTGTTCTGCCTTGTTTTTCATGCAGCAAGATTAAGTCAGACAGGCAACGAGAGGTGGTAGGCCTCTGATTGGATGATTTGGTTTGCGTTCTCCTCATGTAGGTAAAATAGTCTTAAGCCTCACGTTCCTTTAGGGAGACGGACTTCTGCTGCCGCCCATCCAAGTCTGGCCATGATTGGACACCACCAAGCTACATGTAAAACAACCCCTCTGAAACCAATTACAGGCCGCTTTCCCCTCCTTGTTTCGTTATGCTGTATTCTTTATTGGCATCGTTCTGTACAAAAAGCCAATTTTTTGACTCTATGGTCTACACGAGGCTCTAAGATTGGCTTAGGGGGAGAGGGATTTGAGAACATATGCTACAAACTAGCAATATTGGATGGGAAAATAGGGAAAAAAGGAAGCAAATTAGGGCCCCGGAAAGCTACATAACTGAAGCGACAGATATGGCAGACCTTTGATGCATTTTTCCATTCTTCAGCAGATTGGTGGAGGCTCTATAAATAGGAGGTTTTCTGGGTGAAATCCCAAGTGAAGCTGTTGTACCCGTAAGCAAAGACACTTAACCTCAATTACATCAGGAAGCATGCAGCTGTAGATGTACGGAAAAGGGGGTGTCAGACAGAGCTGTGTTCCATGTCTGGCTGAACAGCGCAAGTAGATGTTTCAACCAGTGGAATTTGACTGCGATTTGTTGCCAACTGTTTTTTTTTCATGCTACATTTCTGTGTTTGCCAAAAGATGAAAGACACCTTGCTGATGAAGATCAGGGAAAGACTGACAAACAGACAGACAGCAGACAAATGCAACATCAGGAAAGCGTTAAGCCTCACATACCGTGCAGGTGGCTTGTGGGCGGATGGGATCTGGAAGACGGGGGTCTTCAGACACCCCAATCTGCCTCTATTCTTTTCACCCGCCGTCTTTTCTGAGTCCTCCCACTCTCCCGCCATTGTCATCCTCCCACCTATTGGCGGAGGGCTGGGGGAATACGACATACAAACAGTAATAATCTCGCCACTGGAAACCGGCAGGAGGCTTGATGCATTCTGGTGCACTTTAATCTCAGTAATTGCATATATTTTTTGAAATGTATCGTTACCCAGAGCTGATAATGAAGGGAGATTTACTTAACTGTGTATAATTTAACAAGGTCCTGGGGGAGAACGTGTGTGTATATTAGTGTTCTCCCACTTGTGTTGAGAGATATTATTTTTATCTATCATTTCGCTCTAAGGCTGATTTAATTAGAAACGTATAAATTGTTTTTTTTTTTACATAATAAAAGACATCTAATTTAGGTTAATTTTACTGTAGTCCCGAGCGACAGGATTCAGTCCAAATTCTGTGATTTTCAGGTCAAGACAACTGTATTACAGTACATGCTCTATCAAAACAGCTTGGATTTAATTTTGCTTCTCAGGCTATTGTATTGGCATTGCAGTGTGGACTGAGGCATTATAACTGTACTGACCGGTTACTGGAGTTTTGCGAGGCCAGACTTGCATTATGTTGGCTCTACATTGCAGCTTATTTTGATCAATATGTGAAGCAACCAGCCTGTGCTGTTTATGGAATTTGGCGAATCCAGTGAATTGTTGTTTCTTAAAAGTGCTCATTGTATCAATACTCCCAGCCTTGTTCCAGGCATAAGGAAGTTGCGTGTAGTCAGCCAAGCCAATCTGAGTTGGCCAGCTCTGGCCAGTTATATATGCAACAGGTTTGTACACCATTCAGAACTGAATTGAAAATGCCTCTCAAATTCCATCTTTGAATTCAAGAATGTGGAATTAAAATTACTTGAATTTCAAAGAAATGCATATACCATTTACCATTTTATGGTAAATGCTTCTTTGACAAACCAGGATAAAGAAAGGTCAAAAATTTAAAAGCCGGGTGGTTGCATGGATGGATGGATGGGTTGATTCTACTAATAATAGATATATACATAGATAAACAATTATTTTATTTTATTTGGTTTGCTGTTTTATGGTCAGTTAAATCTTCTGCTCTATTTTATTTAATTTTTTTATGCACCAAAATGAAAAACATGTAACTTACCAGAAAACTGTGTTGAATTTCTTTCAATTTAATTTTTTTCCGCCATTCCAGATCAAATTCTACTTCGACTTCCTGTGTTGTGTGGCCAGTTTAATTTAGATTCCAGTTGAAAGGGAATTATTTTTCAGTTGTCAGTGTGGCTGAGGCACTATCAAAATTAAAAACAGAATTTCATTGCAAATATTTTAATTTCACACTTGTTGAATATATGGTTTGCTATGCTACATAATTTTCCACAAAGGGGTCCCCCAAGGCTCTATTCTAGGCCTCCAGCCATTGTGGCAGTGATGCAGTCGAGGCCTGGCTCCAGGTTTCTGTGGAGACCTTGTGGTCGGGAGATCAGGCGTACAGAGTAACTGTAATTACCTCATGATGGCTGTTACGGAGCGCCGTCCTGCTGTTACCACTGCACATCATTCACCATATTTGTTTTGTCATGCCATACCTGTACTCGTTACGGAGAATAATCCAGCTAAATAAATCACATTATCCTACTGCCTTGCGCCATACGGCTCTGAAGCGTGGATCCGGGAGCCTGGGTAATAAGTTTCAATTAGAGGATGGATGGAGGGAGGGTTGGAGGGAGGTGTCTCACCAAGCCCAGCATCAGGGGCTTCTGCTCCCATGCGCCAAGGGGTGATTTGTCTCCATTAAAATGCAAGGCATCTAAGTTTGTGTTGTAACTGCGAGACTATAAGGAGGTACAGGGTTCAATGCCAAGACCTATCCACTGACCAGAGGTCCATTATATGTTCTATATGTTTAAAAAAAAATATATTTTTTAAATGCCCAGACTATTTTTTTTCTACATTTCCTGGTCTTGTTGTCTGCTCTTCTGCCCATCATGGCATCAAGTCCAAAAAGAAAATGTGGTTTGCTGTATAATGGTCAGTTAAATCTCCTCCTCTATCTCTAGTCAAACTAATGTCTCTATTTTCCTCATTGTACAGCTGTTTCCTGAGACCGGTCCACGGCAAGGCGGAACCAGTCTCACCATCACCGGAGAGAACCTGGGTCTGCAGTTTAGAGACATCATGACAGGTGTTCGGCTGGGAAAAGTACCCTGTGTTCCTATTGAAGAGGAATATGTTAGTGCGGAAAGGTGGGTAAAACAGTTTTTTGGCTTCAATTTGTCTGTCCTGTTTAATACTGTGAATCTGCTTTGAAACAATCGCTATTGTATAAAGCACATAAAAAGTGACTTGACTTGATTACTGCCATATTTAATTTTTGGCAGAAATGAAAACGAGACTTTGAGGAATAGAAATACAGTGTGTTCTGTGCATTCTACAACATGTCAGTTGTTCAGAAGATCTATAGGTCTATAACACTCTTACGTTTCACTGTATAATCTGTCAAACTCAGTCCACAGAGTGCATTTTTAATGCATTGTTAGTTCTGGTTACTGATTATTCTTTCAGCATAAGTGTCTAGTAGTTCCATTTAACACATTTTACCACATCTAAATCAAGAATCCTTGCAGTGTAGAAAATACAGAAAAAAGTCTTCCATCTGGGCCGACTAATAAATCAGACACAGATTAATTATAGTAATAATATTTACTTGTGCTGTATCATATAAATCCATCCATTCACCTTCGTCCCCTTGAGGACTTTGGTAACTTAGCGGTGCTGTTAATCACAAACCCTAAAGAGGATTCCAACGTTTTGCTCTTCTGCAGGATTGTGTGTCTGCTGAATGATGCCACAGGATACCGCGTACAGGAAGCCCAGGTGGAGGTATGCGTGAGAGACTGCCTGGCTGACTACAGAGCCCTCTCACCCAGGGCTTTCACCTTTGTGGTGAGTGTCTAAGAGTCTGGAGACACTTAATCCTACAGATACATTCAGATCTGCCTGTCTTTGGATAATTTAAATGCAAATTGGATGCATATAATTCCAAACTTGCGAATAAATGCACTACCTTTATTTCTAACATTCTATTAATCAGCTTTGTCAATACAGGAATAAATGACATTTTAAAATGATACATTTAAAATTAAAATTATTTTCACCTTCAAAATGATGTATGATTTGTTGAAATCAGACAAAAAATGCCTGAGCTACACCCGTTTGAAGTCGATGAAGTCAGCAAAGTCAATTCTGAGAAAAATCGAGTTAAACTTTTCTAAAGGTTCCAAAGAAAAATCACTTGGCAACGTTGCATTGTTTCCTCCACTTCCTTTCTCAATAATAATTACTATATTAATAAATCACAATATAGCCATTTTTTTATTTTATCTTTGTCATTAACTCTTTCCCTGCCATTGACAAGTTATCTCGTTTTTTAGAAGAAAAGGCTTCTCCGCCAAAGACGAGTTTTTACGGCTTTTCGTGTTTTCACTGTTATACACTCGGGGGTGCTATTACACATCTTCTGAACGAGTACAAAACCTCCCGAACAAAAAACACACATGACGGAGAAACAGCGATCTCTTATGTAAACAGATGCATATGAAAAATAATGCGATCATCAGAAACAGACAGCATATAAATGAAAACTGCATAATGTTACAGAGTAAGATGTTGATCCAGGAAGTGGTATATGTCTGTGCAAGCTTTGGAGGTGTTGATGGAAGAGATTTACTGGATTTATGCTTTGATAATCGTACTGAATATTATCAAGATGTAGTTTTTGATAAAAAAAAAAAATTCTCACCCTTTTGCTCAAAATTATGCATTTTTATGAAACCTACCTATATTCAAGTGTTGATAAAGTGTTGATAAAAAAGAATGCTTTAAAGGTCCCATATTGTCAAAACTGAAATTTCCTGGCTTTTTTCATGATAACTGAGGTCTAGGTACTACCATATAAGTTTCAAAACAGTCAGTCCACAGTAAAATTCACACAGCCTGCATAAAGTAGCTGTGATTTTTCACGAACCGTTGTGACTTCCGTAAAAAGTTGACGTCAGAACTACACATTCACCGCCTTCAGTCACCACCCTGAGCACCGCCCTCAGTCCCAGTCTCCTTTTGCCAAACCCCCAGACAACATCGCGTCCATGCCATTACTGAGCAACGACAACACGGAAACATGTCGAAAAGGTTAACTTTAACCACGAAACCAGATCGGCCGACCTGTAACGTTACACTCTCACTCAAAGGATGGACAATCTGACAGGATTGTTACTATGAGGTGGATCACATCTAACGTGTATAGTAAAGACAAACTCACCGTGTCTATCTAGCATACAGCAAAATATACTGGAGGCCATCAAATTTTAGTGAAAATCATCAAAATCGCTGGCGGTGGCTGGCAACTTTTTTCAAAAATGCTGGCGGGGAAAGAGTTAAAAGTAAAAACAGATGCAAAAAAAACATCAACAGTAGAAGAAATATAAGAAAGAAACAAATAATGCATATTTTACATCTAACCAAAAGCATTCAAGTAAGAAAAACAAATAATAAAATGCAAAAATCACTTCAGTGGGCTATGGGCGAACATAACAGACTTCTTTTAAAAACTTTAAAAAAAAATTCCAACCCAAAACTTGTGAATGGTAGTATGTATATCAGTATTGAATGAGGTTCTACTTGCAAAGAGTTTGTGGCTTTATACATTTTAATAATAATGTTTGCAGTAAGATGCCAATAACAAACAATGTGCTTCTTCAATATGTAATTTTCTTCCTTAGACGCCGTACTTCACACGTGTTCAGCCCGGTCAGGGACCTCTTTCAGGGGGAACCAGAATCACTATTGAAGGAAACCATCTCAACGCTGGCAGCTCTGTTGCGGTCAACATTGGGCGCCACCTTTGTCACTTTAAAAAGTAATGCTTTTCTTTATCTCTTGTTTATCTTTTTGTTGGTGCCATTGTTTAGCAGTTTCCCAATACTGAAAAGAAAACTCTAAATTGTGAGATATAAACTAGCAATTGTGAGAAAAAAGTGAAGTGGAAAAATAAATCACAATTTTGAGATGTAAAATCTGAATTTTGAGAAGAAATTCTGAGAAAAAAAGTCAAAATTGTGAAATGTATATACTCATTACAAATTTATAACTGGAAATTCTGAGGAAAAAAAGGCAAAATTGCAAGATGTAAACTCATAATTGCAAGTTTATAAATGGAAGTTTTGAGGAGAAAAGTCAAAATTGCAAGATGTAAACACAATTACAAGTGTATAACTGGAAATTCTGAGAAAAATAATTCAAAATAGCAAGATGTAAACTCACAATTACAAGTTTATAAATGGAAGTTTTGAGGAGAAAAGTCAAAATAGCAAGATGTAAACTCACAATTACGAGTTTATAACTGGAAATTCTGTTGAAAAAGGCACAATTTCAAGATATCAAGCGTAGGGTTAGTTCTGGCAGCTGACTCTCAGCTGATCCTCATCAACCTATGGGAATACGACACCTATCTAAGTATTCATATATAAGAATTTTGAGAAGAAATTCTGAGAAAAAAAGTCAAAAAGTCAGCAGTTATCGCTGCTCTCCCTGCTCTCATCCGTGCTAGGCTGCATGGATGCGCAGGGAGTTCTTGCCCAGAACGGAACCATACCGCCAATCCAAACTGTATGCTAATTGTTAATCATCTGTGACGATAGTGGTCCTGACAGAAGTAAACTCACAATTACGTGTTTATTACTGGAAATTTACAATTGCAAAAATGTAAAACTCGCAATTGCGAGATATAAACTTGCAACTTCTATCTAAAAAGTTATAATTGTGAAATATTAACTTGAACTTGCAAGAAAAAAATCTGATTTGTGAGGTAAGTCACAATTATCATTTTTTTTATTCCGTAGCAGGAACAAGCTTCCATAGTTTAATAATAAGGCAAAAGCCCCAAACTATGAAAAAAGCATACCGTTGTCTGTTTGGCTGCCCTTCTGTCTGTCCTGTTATCGTTTTATCCCTCCATCTGTCTGGCTTTCTTTCTAACTTTGTGTTTCTGTCTGTCATATAGTTTCTGTTTGTTTGTTTGACTGTTTTATATGTTCCATAGGCTCTGTGCCAGTCGTTTTGATAGTTAGCCTGTTGGCTGTTTTGGTGTAGCATTTGCCAACATACAGTCTCCACTCGCTTGTTAATGTGGTCCTTTTTCTCTCTCGCTCTCTCTGCTTATTCGTCTGCCAAGTTGTCTCCCTCTGTCTTTATCTGTATCCTTCCAAAAAGCTGTCTTCCGGCTTCTCACCTTAGCACGTCCACCTGTCATTCCGTCAGTCAAAACGCCCATGCGAGATATAAACTTGCAACTTCTATCTAAAAAGTTATAATTGTGAAATATTAACTTGAACTTGCAAGAAAAAAATCTGATTTGTGAGGTAAGTCACAATTATCATTTTTTTGATTCCGTAGCAGGAACAAGCTTCCATAGTTTAATAATAAGGCAAAAGCCCCAAACTATGAAAAAAGCATACCGTTGTCTGTTTGGCTGCCCTTCTGTCTGTCTTGTTATCGTTTTATCCCTCCATCTGTCTGGCTTTCTTTCTAACTTTGTGTTTCTGTCTGTCATATAGTTTCTGTTTGTTTGTTTGACTGTTTTATATGTTCCATAGGCTCTGTGCCAGTCGTTTTGATAGTTAGCCTGTTGGCTGTTTTGGTGTAGCATTTGCCAACATACAGTCTCCACTCGCTTGTTAATGTGGTCCTTTTTCTCTCTCGCTCTCTCTGCTTATTCGTCTGCCAAGTTGTCTCCCTCTGTCTTTATCTGTATCCTTCCAAAAAGCTGTCTTCCGGCTTCTCACCTTAGCACGTCCACCTGTCATTCCGTCAGTCAAAATGCCCAGGCCCGGGTTTTTTTTTTTTACCCCTCGGCGTGTATCTACAGCATAAAGAGACACTTTGAAGGCAAGAACATCAGCCACGTTATGGCACAGGCAGTCCCGGTCGATTGTGCGCTTCCGTTTGTGGACGGGGACAGTGAATGAGTGTCCCTGCCGTCCGCCTGTCTATCTGTAGCACCAGACCGCTCTGCATTGCAGCGGAGAATAAAAACATTGTCTCGCTGCCAAGTCTCAGACTTGAGAGAGGGAGAGAATGAGGATTACCGTGGTTCTCGCTGACTGAGACGTCAGCCACACCTGGTCTCAGAGCCAGGGTTCACTTCAGAGAGAAAGTCCACTTCCTGTTAACCCATTGTGCGAGAGTGTTAAAGGGATAGTTCACTCAAAAATGAATGTTCTCTCATCATTTACTCACCCTCCCATTGTTCCAAATCCAAACCTGTATTTCTTGTGTGGAACATAAAAAGAGACATTTTGAATAATGTTCACGATGCTCACTTCAGTGAAATGAAAATGGATGGAGGTCGAAGTAGATTCATGCCCCAAAAAAGCCACAATTAAAGGAATTGTCCACCCCAAAATTAAAAATTGGTCATCATTTACTCACCCACGTTGTTCTAAATCTATATGACTCTCTTTCTAGTACAGAACACAAAAGGAGACATTTTGACGAACGTTCACACTGCTTGCTTTAACACAAAGTCGATGGAGAATAGGAGTGTTCATGGCCCAGAAATCAATCAAACAATTAAAGGGATAGTCCACCCAAAAATTCAAATTCTGTCTTTATTTACTAACCCTCGTGTCTTTCTAAACCTGTTTGACTTCCTTGTGTGACTTTCATTCTTCTGCTCTGAAACACTTGAGAGACATTTTTCAAAATAACAACTTTTATAAAGACAGAAAACCAAACATTTTGGAACAACAGTAGGGTGAGTAAATGATGACAGAATTTTTGCCTAGATTGTTCCTTTAAAGGATTATAAAAGTCGGTGCCGATAGCCTTGTGGGCAGTGCACCGACATACAGCGCTGTTGCGCTACGGACGTCCCGAGTTCGAATCTCAACTCGAGGACCTTTCCCGATCCCGCCCCGCTCTCTCTTCCACTTTGCTTCCTGTCAGCTCTGATCTGTCCTATCATAATAAAGGCAAAAACAAATCTTTAAAAAAATAATTATAAAAGTAGCACGTACGACATTTGCATTATATTTTAATCCATAAAATATCATTGTATGAGGACCAGTCTAAATTCTAATAAATTATTCACTGAAAGTAATAACAAGCACCTATTGCACTTTCATTGCATGGAAAAGAGCAGCTTGGACATTTTGTAAAACATCTGCGTTTATGTTTTGCGGAAGAGATAGTCAAACAGGTTTCAAAAGACATGAGATCTTCATTTTCAACTCAAACATCCCTATCATATGTTCTGCTTCTTTTTTCATGTGTGTTTTCTGTCTTCCATTCATAATATCCAGTGAATTCATATTCAAATTTATTCTACATGTCTGTAATCCAAATTACATATTTAAAATGCAAAATCTCAAAAAAATATCCCAAAGCAATGATTGCGTTTTGCACTTCATTCCGTTGAATGTCTGTATATTTTACCTTTGAGGACATTTCTGGCTTATCCACTCCACAACTCGCACTCTTTGCACTCTTTCCATTTTTTTTCTTTTTCTTTTTTGTTTGTGACAACCACCTTGTCAAAATATGTGCAGTCTTCAGAGGATTTCTGGGGTGTGCATCTTGAAAAGCGTTCCCATGGCAACGTGCTAAGGGGACGTGCATGGAGATTGCAGGCACGTCTCCAGTACAGGAGGAGAGAGTAAAGCAGACAGACAGACAAAAACAGAGCCCAATTCTTTGAAACCCATATGGTTGTTAACACAAATGATGGAGCTTCAGCAAACATACTTAACTCTGAGTACAGAATCTGTGTTACGATGAAATAGGAATGTGATGACATGCTTGCACGGCACATGCTCTGATTGTGATGAGAATTACAGTAAACATTTCAGTTGCTCTTTCTCTAACACACCTTCCTCCATGATTGTAGGCGGAGCTCTAAAGAGATCGTGTGCGTGACCCCAGCCGGCGTGAATGTGGGAAGCACTCCAGTTATGGTGGACATTGACTCTGCTGAGCTGAGGAACCCTGAGGTGAAGTTTAATTACACAGAGGACCCCACCATCCTGAAGATAGACCCGGACTGGAGCATTGCTAGGTAGGCGACACAACTGTTACATGGCCCATTGTTTGAGTTATTAAAATTGAAACATTGTGACTTCAGAATAGAATGGAAGCCTGACTACAATGTTGTTTTATTGGAACCATGGCCTAGAGGTTTGTTTATGTCCCCTAATACATTGATCAGTGGGCAGTCATGGAGGAAACACGAGTTTGAATCTGTTTCCTGATCTTCTCCGCTTTATTCCTTCATTGTCCTACATCTTTAAAAAATATACTTTTGTTTGTTTGTTTGTTTTATACTTTTTGTTTTTATGAAGATGGAGAACAATGTTTCGGTAACTTTAAGGTAATTTTAAGTAGCATACATTAAATTTATTTTAACTATATTGTAGATTTAAGGACCATATAAATCAAAGATGGTAACAGTAACAATAATGATAACTATAAAGTTTTAATAATCATTCAAATCCGAGATAAAAAAACGAGAATAGGGATGGTCACACCACAATTATAACGATAATGACATAGAGGAACAATACCTTTGATTACTTTACTTCACGTTTAAAAAATTTTTGCTTTTTTTTTGTTGTGGCATTGTGGTTAGCATATGTGCCCCAAAACATAGTGTTATGGTGCTCATGTGGTAGTCATGGGTTCAAATCTGGCCCACTTTGCATCCCAGTTCACCTGTCATCATTTTCTGTCATCTTTCTACTTTCTCTCTTAATAAAAATGGCAAAATAAAAAAACGTAGCAATTCGTTCTACCTCGCTGAAGGAAGTTGGAACAACAAAGAAGTAATAAAAATCAATACGAAGTCATTTGTTTAACACTTTCTCTTGACACATGAGCAGAACTCATTAAGAGGTTGAAAAATGAGATTCTATTAGGCGTCGCTCTAGAGTCGCTCCCTTCACGCCATCAGACGTCTGCACCTGCGAGCAGAGCTGCTGTCAGGTGGTGTTTTTGCAGCTTTCCAGGGAGGAGCAGCGATTTGCACTAAAGCATGTCTGGTCTGTCGTTGTCGGGGGTGAAATAAAAACAAGTCTATAGAAACACCATCAGCGGTATCAGATGGGGCAGGCAAGATGGAGCACTTATCACCTGCAACTTCACTGCTCCTGCGGGTTATAGAGCGAGCTCTTTAAAAGCCTGTAGATGAAAAGAAGCTCTCAACACTCCCTCTCTTTCTTGCTCCTTCTCTCTTTCTATCACTCACTTTCTTATTTACCTTTGTGTGGTGTCAGCGGTACGCTCTCGGAGAGCAAAAAGGTGAAAAATGTAAAGCTATATAGCGAAGCTATTGACTTTATGCACTTAGCAGGCATCTGTGTATAACAACTGTTAGTTTCTTTTTGCTTTTAAAGCGGTATTTGAATGACTTCTGATGTTTCGTCCAGGTTATGTTCCTAGTTTCGTGTAACCAGACCGGCGACTAAACAGAATAAGGTCTGGTTTGTTTTATGATGCAAATCCAAATTTTGCTATAAGTTTGATTGCAACATATAATCATTACTGTTAAGAGTGTTCACCGTCTGTTTGATTACATGACATTAACTAACTGCTTCATTTTTACCGTACATTTCTGGCGTATGGACATCAACTTGAGATAGTCACCACTGATAAGCTATTACTAAATATAATGTAGAAACTAAAATTTTCTGTAAAGCTGCTTTGCAACGATTTGCATCTTGAAAAGCGCTATACAAATAAACTTAAATTGAACTGGTTTACATTACGGCTTAATAGCAGCCAAAAAAATCCTGTCTTAGAAAGAGATTGTCTAAACATCAACACAGTGATATATTTAATTTGGCACAAAATGGTATATACGTATTGTGTTGTAGTACTGTGTGCATGTAGACACGTGTATGTGCTGTGTGAAAAAAAAGTTGTTTTTTTATATATATATTTGTATATATATATTATTGTAGAATTCTATCCTGTACTATTGTCTCTTATCTGTACTATATATATACTGTATATATATATATATATATATATATATATATATATATATATATATATATATATAGTGTTGTGTGGACAGAATAATTATTTAACATTACTCGTCTTTACATTGACTTCTATAAAATATATCTGAAACAATTACATTACAATTATATTACACACATTTTTGACTTAATTTTTGTCAAAATGTTTGTTTCATGTATTGAAAATGGAAAAATATTTGTTTTTATATTTAAAAATGATTTAATGTATACAAATTTTATTATGATATGTATGAAGTGCCAAACAGGAAATAATTATATAAAATCTGAATATATAAATGTAAATTGTGAATATATAGAAGTGAATAAACTTAAAACTATATATTCAGATGTACTTCTATATATTCATGATTTACATTTTTATGTTACAATTTGTATCTATATATTCAGATTTATAACTATATATTCGGATTTACGTTTATATAGCAGATTTAGAACTATATATCCTGAATTATATATATTTATTCAGATTTATAAATATATATTTTAAATTTACCTCTATATATTCAGACTTATAACTATATATTCAGATTTACTTTTCCTATATTCATAATTTACGTTTATATATTCAGATTTTATATAATTATTTCCTGTTTAGCGCTTCATAGATATGGTATATTTTAAATGTGTGTGTGTGTGTGGCATTATATTTGAGTTTGATTGAAGAAGTTCCTGGCTTTTTTCTCTACTCGCAAAAGAGTTGTGAGTCGGTTATGTCACGACACACACATACTCACAACTGTGTCTGTGTGATTGTGTGTTTTGTTGCTGACCCAGGCCGCCACAGTCAAGCATGCATTCTCTCCACCAAGCCCTGCTTTGAACGGGGCCATTATCCCCCAGGAGTGTGTATCGTGGTACCTTTCCCCCCTCCATCTGCTTCAGAAAAACAAACACACACACTCAGGGATCAAAGCAGTACCGGAAATGACTGCGCCTGTGCAGAAGTCGCCCCTAGCTTGAACAGACATAACTGGAACCCAAATGTTGTGGCCCCAGAGCCTGTTAGTGTGCGCCGACTGAAGCTGTATTGATTTGAGCTGAAAATGCCCTTCAGGGCCACGGCGCAGCAGGTGTCACAGAGGCAAACATGCAGAGACATCAGCGGCGGTACGGTGCGAGACTCAAACTCACAGACCGCCTATGTTAACAAGCTTGTGAACACAAGACGTCAGTATAGGGAACCCTAGGCAAATTAGTATCTTGAAACGATTTTGTGTTCAATAAGTCTAAAAAACAGGTGCTGAAGGTACATATAGCATCATAAAATAAAGATTGATGCCAAGAGATCAAAAGTTAGGACAGACCAGAAATAAATCAAGAAAGGTCAGGCCCAAAACTAGCTATGCTAGTACATATAGTTGAAATAAGTTGAGCTGTTGACATATTTTCAGCTAGCACATCTGGTTTAATGTCGTTTCTAAGGTGTCCTCTTGAGTACTGAGGTCGGTTGCTGCCACAGTAATACAATAAGAGGGCTGCATGCTTGCAATACATCGAGTGTACAGTTGCATACTTGCAAGCATTGTGACTTGAATGAGATATCTTTTCAGATAGTGGTAGGCTGAGGATCTATTTGTAGGCAGTGTGTCCTTTTTCTTGTTCCCTGAAGCTTGTGCCTGAGTTAAGAGGGATTTTTCACTGAGACAGCCAGAGAAAAGAGAGACTGAAAGAACTCCACACATACAGTGTGCTGTGAATGAGCAGGTCTCCAAAAACATGGTAAGACAAGCCGAGCTCTAGGGTTAACAGATTTCCTGTTGAAACAGGACGTTGGGACAGGGTGAAGTCTCTTTTTCTAAATAGCCAGTAGCATTTTGTTTACATCACAGCCTGGCAAATTGTACTTGAAATATCACAATTGATTAAAAAGAGGCATGTACATTTGCGGGAGGGACATTCTCAGTCTAGATGTAGATTTCTACCCACCAAAAATCTCTCATTTAAAAGCATTTTTGGCCAGAATTGAATGAATTTTAAATTAGTACAGAAGTGCGCTAGCATATAGTTAGCCTTGAAGCTAACAGACGCTGACTGAAAGCTATAAAACTCTTTTTGATTTGATGGGCTCTGTGAATATCATCTAATCTGTTACGACTTATGAAATGGGTGCCGCATATGTAGAGGTAGAATGTCTTTAAACGCCCGGATCTTCACGAAAATCCTTTTTGTGTAAGTGTACAGTTGCATACTTGCAAGCATTGTGACTTGAATGAGATATCTTTTCAGATAGTGGTAGGCTGAGGATCTATTTATAGGCAGTGTGTCCTTTTTCTTGTTCCCTGAAGCTTGTGCCTGAGTTAAGAGGGATTTTTCACTGAGACAGCCAGAGAAAAGAGAGACTGAAAGAACTCCACACATACAGTGTGCTGTGAATGAGCAGGTCTCCAAAAACATGGTAAGACAAGCCGAGCTCTAGGGTTAACAGATTTCCTGTTGAAACAGGACGTTGGGACAGGGTGAAGTCTCTTTTTCTAAATAGCCAGTAGCATTTTGTTTACATCACAGCCTGGCAAATTGTACTTGAAATATCACAATTGATTAAAAAGAGGCATGTACATTTGCGGGAGGGACATTCTCAGTCTAGATGTAGATTTCTACCCACCAAAAATCTCTCATTTAAAAGCATTTTTGGCCAGAATTGAATGAATTTTAAATTAGTACAGAAGTGCGCTAGCATATAGTTAGCCTTGAAGCTAACAGACGCTGACTGAAAGCTATAAAACTCTTTTTGATTTGATGGGCTCTGTGAATATCATCTAATCTGTTACGACTTATGAAATGGGTGCCGCATATGTAGAGGTAGAATGTCTTTAAACGCCCGGATCTTCACGAAAATCCTTTTTGTGTCTCATCGCCAAAAGTGATTATGGGATATATTACCTCTGCTCTGTTTTGCCTCCCTTTGGGATAAAAAAAGCTTGATAGACTGATATTTCTTGAGATTTCAAGGCCAAGTGTTGAGCTAGACAGTATGATTGGGTTATTGTGCGAGATCTGTAGCCATCATGTTTCGATGATGACTTCCTGTTTCTCTTCCCAGCGGTGGGACTCTGCTGACGATCAGCGGCACCAACCTGGCCACCATTAAAGAGCCCAAGATCCGTGCCAAGTACGGCTCTGCCGAGTCCTTCCATGTAAGTATCCTGTTTCCTTGTCCTTTCCTGACATCTATAGGCTCTTCCATACTTTTTTCTAATGTTCATCTCACAAAAGCTTCCACGTGTTCCTCTGCCGCTGTGTTGCTTAAAGGACTCTGTAACAGCGACACACAATACATTTTTATCTTGAGAAAGGTCACAGAAGTGTCTCTGTCACTTTTTGTTATTTTCTATTTTAAAAAAATGTTCTCGCAGTCTCAGAGTTTAAATGACCCCTGTGTTCCTCATAATCACATTAACAAAATGTTTTAATGTAGCATTAGAATGATCTGACATGCCTTCTGCTATTACAAAACATAATTTTTGTCCCATTTAATTGTAATTAGGGTCAACCAATTAAATATTTTATCAATATATTGATATTATCGATATTAAATCAAATTAATTACTCAAAATATGTAATGCAAATAATGTTATCTTATCTATCTATCTATCTATCTATCTGTCTGTCTGTCTGTCTGTCTGTCTGTCTGTCTGTCTGTCTGTCTGTCTGTCTGTCTGTCTGTCTATCTTTTTTTCCTGAGAATGACCAAATGATCAATAAAATGTTCAAAAGACAGTTCTAGAAATCAACAACAACAATAATAAAAATCTTAATAATAAATTATTATTATTTAAGTAGAGTCAATCAAATGTTTAAATCAAATTAATTGCATAATATGTGTAATGCAAATAATGCAATGCATTTATATTATTTATGTATTTAGTAAATAAATGTATTTAAATATTTATTTTTATTATTTTCTTTTTCTGAGATTGACCACAGATAGAGATCATTTAAATGCATTACATTATTTTGCAGATAAATCAAAAATGCAAAAGAAGGTGGTTTTAAAAATTATTATTAATAATAATAATAATAACAGTTATTGTTAATAATAAAAATGGTTGTTTTTGTTAATAATTCAAATAATTCATTACATTATATTGCAGATGAATAAAACATTAAAAAGATTAAAAGTGGTTCATAATAATGTTTTTGTTGTTTATTTATCAATGGATATTGTTTTCATATAATTCTGATTATTTCTTATTATAAAAAAAATAACATTTATACTTAATTTGTATAATGAACACATTAAATTGACACTGTTGTTTAAATTCAGTTTTGTCTCTGTTTTCCTATTCTACTCAGAACTGCACGGTTTTCAACAACTCTGTTATGGTCTGTCTGGCCCCGTCGCTGGCTGATTCGGATAGAGTCTTTGCTGAGACTGGCAGCGGACCGGATGAGATCGGCTTCTACATGGATAATGTCCACGCCCTTGTGGTCGTCAACGAGAGCTTCAGCTACTACCCGGACCCCGTCTTTGAACCCCTCAGTCCCACAGGCATTCTGGAGCTCAAACCAACGTCGCCCCTTATCCTGAAGGTACACATCACTAGCTTCAAGCAGTTGATGAATTTGTGGTTATTGATGTGAGGTTTATGTGGCCAATT